TGGACATTAGAAATTTTTATTTGCAGTATTTAACACTAATGGTTACATCTTCACTTTAACCTACCTAATGCTGTTTCACTCAAATGTCTTTTTTTTCTTCCCTGTAATAGTTGTGCAGATGATTCTGACCTTATCTGAGGTTTACATATAGGTGAATATCCATTTCTCCACTGACTGAGAGAAGTACCATGTACTAAATAAATGAAAAGAAAGGCTGTGTGAAGTTTTTGTTCTTTAACAGAGACAGATGAGCATGCCAATCTGTTTCTATGTATAATGGTGAAAACTGTAAGATACTCAAATTGCATGTAATGAAGTAAAAACTTAATTACCAAGGTGGGCAACTCTACTCTTAAACTAAAAATAAATGTAATAGGCTTTCTCAAAAACATTCTCAGGAAATTCCCAATTTTGTTCTTTTTTAAGTTTTTATTTTTATCAGGTTGATATAGAGAAGGTACTATGCCATCAAAGACTTCCAAATTAGTGAGGATGGGTTCAGGTCTAAATCTTGACTGACCTACAATTGAAATCCCGAAGTATTAACCTGGAAGTCAGTTCAGTGCCAAGTGAGATTCAACATGGTCCTCACACATGAGGAATCATTGAAGCAAAAACCTGATTTCATCCAATTATGACAGTGACTATTATTTAGCTTTTAAAAACCAAATTTTGATGTCAGTTTATCTTTGCCTCAGTCTCCTTCCAGCAATAACAGCAGCTGTTTGGGGGTTATGAGAATAGGTATCTCATATGGTATGTGCTTAAGGTTAGCTTTATCATCATGAGTGCCATCTATCTGAATTTCCTGGTTTCCAGTATTGTTTAAGCCACTGAATTGGCTCCTTTTTTTCTTCTTTTTTTTCAAAGGGGGGAAAGGATTGGAAATGTGGAAAGGAATAGAAAAAATATGTAGACTGAAATGTCAAACACATTAACACTGACATAAAAGGGCATAACCCAACAGCAGTGATCAGGAGTCTAGTTGCAAAATGGCAGAGCACTCTAAAAGTGACAGACAAAATTATTTTTTGTACATAGGCTTATGCACAAATGGACACATTTTGTCAGCCAAAAAGAAAGCTTATAAATCTGTAAGGGTGCATCTCTGAAAGACTAAGGTCCTGTGGAATTTGGCTGAAGAAGGAACCCAAAGCAGAAGCACGTGGAACCAATGGTGTTAGAACTGGAGGAGAGAAAAAAGGATGTTGAGCAACTGGTGGACTACAGAAGACAGTAGCTACCTCAGCCAGGCTACTCAGAGAAGTTATTGCTCAGATGACAAAATCAGAACTTTTGGTAGAAAAATGGATTGCTGAAGAAATAAGGCCCTCATGCCTCACTTTAAAATGTTCTGCCTTTTCCCAAATCTATCTGAAAATAGTGTTGCGTCTAAATCTCTGTCCTTTTCATCAGCTGGCTGTAATAAATAGTAGGGGTATAACAGTCATAACAGTGAATATCAACTTCAAATATGAGTACACAAACTGCAAAATCTTTATTACTAACACCATAAATAAAACCACAAATTAGAAGTGAAGAATGTCTCAGGAAATACAGGAATATTAATAGTACAGATCTGTAAAACAGCCACGAGAGACAAAGCGAAGATCCCTCCAGAGATCTCAGAAACATGAAATATAATTGTTTAAATTTTAAAATGATTAAAATTTGAGCTTAAAGAGGAATTGCACAACTTGAATGAACAGAAGCAAGGAAAGAAAAACAAATGAAAGAGGATGAAGGAGTTTGAAGAAATAGCCGCAAATTTTCCTTTATTACATTAACTCTATGATTTCAAATAACTTACTTGAATGCCAGTGAATTTTAAAAAACGGGTTGTGTGTCATAATATTACAGATTGAAAATACCCTTAAAACTTGCAAGACAGGTGTTTAGGAGATTACCATAAGGGAATGAGGATGAGTGAAACTGCGTGTAAGAAAACAGTGCCTAAATATGGAAAATTAGTAGAACTCTAGGACATCTAAGATTTCCCACCATCCAACAAAGAGATGTTAATAGGATGAGATGGCAGGGGTAATCCTACACATGTCTAGACAGGATAAACTACAGGACTGGGGGTTTACATCAGAGGTAAAACTTTACTGTTTGTTATTTTAAGTCCCAACCAAATCACCCTTTAATCTCTTTCCTATATAGTTCATACTGAGGAGAAAGAAACAGAAGAACTTGTACAAAGGTGTAAGGGAGCAGGACAAATCTGGGAACTGGAAAACAGGTGTGCAATGTAGACCAAGAGAGCATGATGTAAAAGCAGCAGGCAGTGTCAGTTTGTGTAGTCTGGGCTTAAGCGGTTCTCCATTCCCGAAAATGCCTTACAGGGGTGGGGGTAACAGTTTGCAGTCTAAAGATCATTGGCTACAATGATCAAAGGGAAATAAAAATTGGGCTTTCAGTACAGACTACAAGATCATTATGTTGGAGTTAATGTAGGCATAAGGATATATATGAAAACAAGTTTGTAAGACCATATTGGTAACTTGATTAGATAAGAAGTCTGGGTGAAGAAGCCTGAGCCCTGTATTTTTGGTTATGATCTTACTCTATTACAGCTATTTACTCTGAAACAAAACAGACAACAACCAAAAAAAGTTTGACATTCTCAGATTTACCAAAAAGAAGTTTAACTAGTACAATTTCCATATGCCCTTTACTCAGGTTATCCGAAAGTTAGTATTTTTATCACATTTGCTTTACTTTGTGGGTGTTTCATAACATCACAGTCCCTTACTCCTTAATATACAGACGTGTACTTTCCCAGAACAAGCTCATTCTTTTACATACCCACATGGTTGTCAAGATTTAGGAAATACTATTAGGTAATCTATAGATCTTAGTCAAATTTCACCAGTTCTCCCTGTAATCTTTATAGTCTTAATTATGCATTGCATTCACCAGGTCTCTTGAAAGTCATATATCGAAGAGTTCTGCTCACTCATTCTTAGCCTGTAATATTTTGATAAATACAGCCCCTTAAATTGGCTTTGTCTGGCTTTTCATCTTGGTGAGACAGTGTGTTTACTCTTGAGGTTTGTAATTTGGCTTTACTTTCTTGTCTGTAGTCCACTCTGACACTGTGTAAGTGCAGAATCTCTGAGGATAGGCTAAGTCAAAGTGCTGTGGCAAACCGAAGATCCACTTACTTTCACACATTTTACTCTGCAGGAGTACCAAGCTATTTTCAATACTTGAAAGCACCACACAGTTTTCTGTCTCGATTATGTGTGTTTATTTCTATTATTTAAAGTGTTGTAACATAATAGAGGTTGAGATTGCATGTTATGACGTTACATAATACAGAATTCTGTGCCAGATTTTGAATCAGCTGGGACATGATTAGAGTGCAGAATCTTGGGCCTCATACCAGACTTTGTGAATCAGAGTCTGCATTCTAGTAATATTCCTCAAATAATGTTTGCATTTGAAGTTTGAAAAACATTGGCTTGAAACCACATCCTGCAAATTCTAAGACAGCACTTACATCTTCATCTTTCTGGAGTTCTTTGCTTATTTCTCGTCTCCCTTAACTTTTTGCCTTATCCTAGGTAGAGTTATATACTACTTTATAAGTTGTTACCATGTATCTTTGCTCTGCATACCCCATAATGTTATTCTTGCTGTTGCATTTACTTATTTTAATCCCCTGTGATTTTTGGCACTTAATAGTCTGCCTGGTGCAGACTAGGTTTCTTCATGTGGAGCTCTCAGTTTTATTTAAGACATAGGATGGATCCTAATGCTTAGTTATTTGAGTTGGGAGTAGTAGGGAGTGAGTAGGGGAATGAGAGACTGTTACACAAAAGAATATTGCATTGGTTTTCCTAGTGGCATGACAGCATTAAACTCAAGGATGTTCTGGATACCTATAAACTTTTCCATTCTATATGGCATGTAACATATCAGTACATTATTGATGTATTTGATATCAATTCATTGCCTAACATTTATACTTATGTTTTTAAGCTATAAAAACAGCATCATCGGAAATGTAATCACCTTCTCTAGTGCAAACTCCCTTTCACTCATACATATGCACATTTCATATTTCATACATACTTCAAGTGTGAAATCATACTTTGATAAGAATCATCTAAGTGTGTGTTTTATCCCATAACTTGCTTTACATTTTTCAGATTTTACCTAGCATTTTTCAGTATTAATAGGTATTCCATAACTGTTGGCCATCAGAGTTACTACCATCATCACAGTGAACCTAATGATGTAAAAATTCTTAAGATCATCATGTTCATGGAGTTTTGGAAAGAATTTATTCTCAGGGTAAATCCTATTGAGTAGAATTATATCATTAAAAATACCTGAACATAGCCTCATATTTTCTAGTATTTCTTTTGTCTTCCCTAAGCATAGGTTGCTTACCCTGGCCCTTGATGTTCTTTTTTTTTTCCCCTGTAACTTTTTACTATGGAAAAATTTCAAACAAAGACAAAAGGAGATTCTACAATACTGAACCCCATGTACCTATCAACTAATGACCAATCTTGTTCTCATCACTCTCCTGCTAACAAAACAGTTCATTAATATACAATAATTCATGTTCACATTTGGACTGCCTAAAAAGTTTATGTGCTAGTAAGTATTTTTTTTAAAATTTTTAAATCTTTTTCCAATAGAATTCCAATAAAGTCTATATATTGCATTTAGTTGATAAAATTTTTATGTGATTATAACTGTACCAAATATAAAACTAAAATACTTTTTCCATTTTCAATATTCCTTAAACAAATGATTCCATCCTTAAAAGAACTTTTAAGGCATTTTAAAAGTTACACATTCTAGGGGCTGGAGAGATGGCTCAGCAGTTAAAAGCACTGACTGTTCTTGCAGAGGACCTGGGTTCGA